AAGTGAAGACGAATACTTTGGATTAATTGTAGTTAATTCATTTATCTTAGGTAGTAACAAAGGTCAATTTATTTTACCCAATCGTATTTACTGATATCTATTACATACATAACACCATGTAAGAATCTGGAGAGGATACCAAAGAGGAGTATGAAGCATGGTTTCTGCCATCAAGGAACTGTGTGGTCAGGTAGACAATTTACCAAAGGTGAAAAAAGTCAGCATGTACACAAATACAAAACGCTGTTGCAAAGAACTATTTCTAGAACAATAGATGTGCATTAGGAACTCGGAAATGAGGTAGGTGGGTGTTGTGCCAGCTAACTTCCATTTCTCTCTCCAGATCCAATCTTCACCTTTCCCAGTCTTTCCTGGAGGCATCTGCAGCCTGGGCCATATCAACAGAGCCTCTTCCCTCTGGCACGCGATTTAGTTCAATGTTGAGTCTGGGGAGATGATCTGAGGAAGGGAGGAGAATGAGGTCAGAGTAGGTACGTTTGTGGCACCTGGGGCAAGGGTACAAATGGAGGCCCAGCTATTGAAAACTAATTGCTTAGAGGCCGGCCTGGTGGTGCGGTGGTTAAGTGTGCATGTTCTGCTTCTTGGCGGCCGGGGGTTCGCTGGTTTGGATCCCGGGTGCGGACATGGCACCACATGGCAAAAGCCATGCTGTGGTAGGCGTCCCACATATAAAGTAGAGGAAGATGGGGATGGATGTTAGCTCAGGGCCAGTCTTCCTCAGCAAAAAGAGGAGGATTGGCAGCAGTTAGCTCAGGGCCAATCTTCCTCAAAAAAAAGAAAAAGAAAAGAAAAAGAAAACTAATTGCTTAAAAATAGTCAAATAACATATATTCTATCCTCCGAATGTATCTTCAAAGAGCTCTGAAAAGCCAAGTTCAAATTTAGAGTTCCCCAGTTCATCAGATGTCCACACTGGGATGTAGGGGCACGGGGAGAAACAGGCCTCTGCCTGCAGCTTACCTCATTCTTTTTCTACCCACTTCTATTCTGCGACCCCAACCCCACTTACCGTGGCAAAGAGCTTCTCCTTGGCTTCCCAAGGCATTGGGGAAGTGCACATCAGCAGTGCTGGCTGCCTGGACCCTGGAAATTGCAATTTCTGGAAGCAAGCTTGGGGCCACATGGGCAAGGAAATCCAGGATCTTGGGTATCCAGAGCATAGTCCAGAAGGGAGGGCATGGGTTCTCAGTGGCCATGCCCAGTTGACCTTGTCGACTCCGTACCTTGTAGGGTTTTGTGTAGCTGAAAGAGAGCTGGAGCAGGCGCTCCTTTTGCTCAGGTCTAAGGGTAATAATGGGTCAGGCTGTTTATTTCCGTTTCCCCAGCTGCTTTCTCTCCAGATTGCCTCTGGGTGGATGTTTCCTTCAAGCAAATGTGACAGCTCCTCTTAAGGTGTTTCTCTCTTCAAAATTTTCTAATTCCTCTTCTCTTTAGACTTTGGGGTAGAAACAGCTAACGGATACTCTACTACATGTTTTTTTTTTAACTTTAACTTTTCTATTTCAGTAACATTGGTTTATAACATTATATAAATTTCAGGTGTACGTCATTATATTTTGGTATCTGTGTAGACTACGTCATGTTCACCCAAAGACTAATTATCATCTGTCACCGTACACATGTACCCTTTTACTCCTTTTGCCCTCACCACTCCTCCCTTCATCTCTGGTAACCACCAATCTAATATCTATATCTATGTGTTTGTTTGTTGTTGTTGTTGTTTTTATATTCCATTTATGAGTGAAATCATATGGTATTTGACTTTCTCCCTCTGACTTATTTCATTAGCATAATATCCTTAAGTTCCATCCATGTTGTTGGCAGTGGCAAGTTTTCATCTTTTTTTAATGGCTGAGTAGTGTATATAAATATAGTAGTGTATATATTCCATTGTGTGTATATACCACATCTTCTTTATCCATTCATCCATTGATGGGCACTTAGGTTGTTTCGAAGTCTTGGCTATTGTGAATAACGCGGCAATGAACATAGGGATGCAAATATCTTTTCGACTTAGTGTTTTCAGGTTCTTTGGATAAATACCCAGATGTGGAACAGATGGATCATATGGTAGTTCTTTTCTTAATTTTTTGAAGAATCTCCATACTGTTTTCCAGCGTGGCTACATCAGTTTACATTCCCAGCAGCAGTGTATGAGAGTTCTCTTTTCTCCACATCCTCTCCAGCATTTGTTATTTCTTGTTAATTATAGCCATTCTGATGGGCGTTAGGTGATACCTCATTGTAGTTTTGATTTGCATTTCGCTAATAATTGGTGACGTTGAACATCTTTTCATGTGTCTGTTGGCCATCTGTATATCTTCCTTGGAAAAATGTCTGTTCAGATCTTTTGCTCATTTTTTAACTGGGTTGTTTGCTTTTTTGTTGTTGAGATGTATGAGTTCCTTATATATTTTGGATATTGACCCCTTATCAGATATATGTTTTGCAAATATCTTCTCCCAATTATTATCTTTTCGTTGTGTTGATGGTTTTCTTTGCTGTGCAGAAGACTTTTAGTCTGATGTAGTCCCATTTGTTTATTTTTCCTTTTGTTTCCCTTGCCTGGTGAGACGTGTATTTGAAAAGATGCTGCTACTACCAATGGCAAAGGGTATACTGGTTATGTTTTCTTCTAGGGGTTTTATGTTTTCAGGTCTTACATTCAAATCTTTAATGCATTTTGAGTTAATTTTTGTGTATGGTGAAAGATAATGGTCTACTTTCATTCTTTTGCATGTGGCTGTTCAATTTTCCCATCACATTTATTAAAGAGACTTTCCTTTCTCCATTGTATGTTTTATTTATTTATTTGTGAGGAAGATTGTCCCTGAGCTAACATCTGTGCCAATCTTCCTGTGTTTTTTGTGTGTGGGACGCTGCCAGAGCATGGCCTGATGAGTGGTGTGTAGGTCCGCACCCAGGATCCTAACCTGAGAACCCCAGGCCAGCAAAAAAACCCCCACAAAAACTTAACCACTATGCCACCGGGCTGGTCCCTCCATTGTATATTTTTGACTCACTTGTTGAAGTTTAGCTGTCCCTAGATATGTGGGTTATACTATATGTTATGAGTATACGCTAACCACCACCTGTCCAGTCCCTTTGTTAAACCCTTGCCAAACACTCTTAATCTGATTGTACCATCTGTTTCCTGCTATAACTATGGCTGATACAGCTGGTTCCTTAAGGGAAATTTTACAGCAAAGATGACCTTGATGTAGGTCTTGAGGGAAACTTTCACTTTATAGGCAAAAAAAAAAAAAAGATTCAGAAATTAAAGGGGCTTGAAAGGTTATAGAATCCAACCTTCCCACCCTATGCCAATAGTTTTGCCCTGTTTATTTCATATTTTATTTGACACAGCTCAAAGGCATTCTTCTCTTTGAAGTTTTTCTTCATTTTATATCATCTTGTGTTCCCTCATACTGTTTAGATATTGCTAATATACCTGCCATGAACCTATGATGACCCACTTCTCTTTCTACTTTTCCTTGTTTTTTTTTAAAGACATTGTTTTTATTTTATTTTATTTTTGAGGAAGATTAGCCCTGAGCTAACATTGGCTGCCAATCCTCCTCTTTTTGCTGAGGAAGACTGGCCCTGAGCTAACATCCATACTCATCTTCCTCTACTTTATATGTGGGACGCCTACCACAGCATGGCTTCCCAAGCAGTGCCATGTCCACACCCAGGATCTGAACCGGAGAACCCCAGGCTGCCAAAGAGGAATGTGTGCACTTAACCACTGTGCCACCAGGCCATCCCCTTCCTACTTTTCTTAAATAAAACTTCAGGGAGCTTTTCATCCAAACAATGCATTGTAAAGTCATATGACTTTCACTTCATGGGAATGCACCATTTACTTATTAGGTTTTCTCTACTCTTTGCTCATTAACCAAGATAACTAACGTAATACCATTTGGTGCTATAGCAATCATAGACACAAAGGCAAATTCGAGTCCTGAGATCCTGTAGCAGCATTCCATTTTCAGGGAGTCATTCATATGAACCAGAATACGTTTATATTAAATTTTAAGTCATAGAAACTGACAAATAAAAATGGCAAGTAATAGGATATATTGGAGAATATGAGGAAGCCATTTGGTACAAACCTAATTCGGCCTGACCTTGTCTTTCCAAAAGGGCCTGACCGTGGCTGTTGAGCATGCATTGTATATCTGCTTTAGATATTCCCCGTGGCAAGAACAAAGGCCCTTGAGATAAAGGTGCAACTTCCCTCCCCCTCCCAACATTGGCATTTCCTTAAGGATTAAGCATCTTTCCTTAGGCTAGGAACTGATTGCTGCGCTCACCTGTGACCACCCAGCTCGAGACAATAGACTTGCCTCCTGCTACGCCCTCCGAGATAGCAGACCCACTACCAGCTGTGTCCATCAAGCACTGTGCCGACAGGGCAATCTTGTGACTACTGTGCAAGGGACATTTCAATCACATGTGAAACGTCCTGTTTGCGGGTATATAACCGCTCTGTATATCTCACTTCCTTGGTGTCCTTTCTTTCTTCGGGAAGAAAGGCCCCGGGCCATGGTCCTCAGATTTCAGCTCAGAATAAACTCACCCAAATTTTCATTTATAGATTGGTTACGGATTATTTTCGTCCACAAAACATAAAACACAAAACTTTTAAAGTTATCCTAGAGAATTAACAGACTACCCTCCCCCCCCCCCGCCACCCCGTACCAACCTTAATTTGAGAAACATGGATTTTCAGTACTGAGTTGATGTCAAAGGTGAGGGAAAAGCTCAGAGATAGATGTCTGGTCTGGGCCACTGAGTACATGATCCTATTCACTGACATCAGGAGTTAAAAAAAAAAGGGGGAAAAAAGGTGCTTTCAGGAGAAATGATGAGTTCGGTTTTGTACAAGCTTAGTTTGAATTTCCTGCAGTACGTTCACTTTCTGGTAGACTGAGCTGCAGATATAAATTTGGTCAACATCTATTGGACCCAAGAGAATAGATGTGGTCCTTCAGGGAGAGCATGCAAGAGTAAGTCGAGAAGATGGTCAAGGGACAATAGCCTTGGAGAACACAGTTCCTGGAGAGCAGCAGTTAGCAAAAAGGCAGAGAGGTAAGGAAGTAAAAAAAGAGGCGTGATTTAACAATGAAATGGTCAACGCAGATACTCTTAAAGGTGAAGTAAGATAAAGACTGAAAAGTTAATCATATCCGGTGATTATGAAGTGCTGAGGATCGCGGAGCAATTTCAGTGGAGTGCAGGGGCAAAGGCCGACCACAGCAGTCTAAGAGCAAAGGTGCAAGTGAGGAAGTGCAGCTAATAATTTAAGACTTTGGCTTTGTTGTGAAAATGTAGGCACAGGCGACTGCAGGGCTGGAGGAAAACAATGTAAGAGATCAGTGAGTGGCACCAGGTGGGAGACGGAGGACAAGGGTCAACTGGTAGCTTAAAAAATAGAGATCCTTGAGGAGCGAAGAGATCAGAGCAATCAAAAGAAAGATTTCTTCGGAGTTTGGGATCGGGAGGTGGGTGGGGTTATAGGCAGGGGGTGGGGAATAGACGGAATTCGCACGTCACACCTAATAGCCTCAATTTTCTCCGTAGAATAAAAGGATTCTCTGCAGAGACCGAGAAAGGCGGAGGTCGGGCAAATGACTCGAGGACAATACTGAGTGGGAGAGAAAGCTGCCCAGGAAAAAGCAAAAAGGATTACTGAGGGGTGCTGACGGTGTTTAACTATGAATTTAAGGTGGCACCTTGAGATTGATGTAAAGCGCAGAGAAGGCAGATGAAGGCTGACTTCCGCTTAAATCCCTACCCTCGACGGCCCAGACGTGCGGGCACCAAGGCGTGTGGCCCAATAGTGTCTGAGAGCCTACTGCGCCTTCTTGAAAAGCACCAGAACGGCCAGAGTGTCTGTTTTCCGTAGCTTTAGCATCCCAAGGCTTTTACGGAAATCGAGCCATTTTTAAAAGGAGGAAGGAGACGCCGGGAGATGAGATGAGGGGCTGTGCCCAGTTTTTTTTCCTCGAGCCATACGGGGGGAGGACAGGCGGCCGCTCCAGGTCCAAGAACTGCTCCTCCGGGGGGAGGAGGGAGCCCTGACCCGGCGTGGCCAGGCGGAAGCGCCTCTGCCATTGGCCCAGCGGCGTCCTTTACCTGAGCCGAGCCCGGGGCCGGGGCGCAAAGTCCGCGGCGCCGGGCCAAGGAAGCGGCCGTCGGCAGCGCAGGTGAGCCCCGCCATCGGCCAGGCAAGATGCCTCTGGGGCTGCGGCGAAACAAGAAAGCCAAGTCCAGGGAGAGCGCCCGGCTGGTGGAGGGCGAGCCGGCGGGCGCGCGCGGAGGCCTCCCGGACCCCCCGGGTCCCGCGCGCAGGTTTGTTTTCCACGCGCAGCTGGCGCACGGCAGCGCCACGGGCCGAGTGGAGGATTTCGCCAGCATCCAGGAGCTCTACGCCAAGATCGCGGGCGTGTTCGAGATCTCGCCGTCCGAGGTAAGGGCCGGGGGCCGGGCTCAGCCCCTCGCTCCCTCCCACGCGCCGCGTCGGCTGAAGTTGCTCCCGCTGGTGAGCAGCGCTTCTCTGAGCCCGACGTCGTGCGCAGGGTGGAGCCCGCCCGCAGCGCCCCAGGGAAGGCGAGAGGGCCCTGCAGGGAAGGGAAAGGTGGGTCCCGGAACCGGAGGAAGTCGCATTCCCTGTGCTCGGAGATGGGCTTCTCGGAAACGCGGGATGACCTTGCTTCCTCGCGCGAACAAGTGTGCGTTAGTAGTCCTGGATCCAGCCGTTAGGGCGGGAGCGCCTTCCCAGAGTCCAGATCTGTCTGGGCAAATGAACACCCTCCACTTTGTCTGGAATTTAGTCTCCTGCTTCCTCTGCGGGGGTGAGACGGCCGCGCTGAGCATCTCCCAGATCAAAAGAGGAGGAGGGGGGCCGGGAAAGGAACTGCCTTCCAGGTAGCACCAAACCGAGGCCCACTTTGCTCCTCATATGTCACGTCCAGCATCAAGACTTTGGTGTTGCCAAGAAGCTTATTATTGCACGAGTGGATAACTTAGTTATACTTAACTACGTAGGACTAGTTAAAATTTTCGGAGGGGAAATCACTAAATTTTACACCATATCGTTGAAAAGGGACCGAAATTTGCTCTAATTAGATTGCGTGTGTTCCTGGAAGTGGAGTTCCGTAGAGGCTCGATTTCGAAAGCACTCGTCTATGCGGATGTTTACGTGATGACTTTATTTATGCTTACCCAAGCGAACTGCAAATATAGGTGCGAGAAGTTAGCCCAAGAAAATATTTTGTCCATACTTCTAGGAAAATCACAACATCTTGTTGCTCTGGAGTCCCGGGAGTGCAAGGAGCTGCCTTTGAGTGACTCCGAGCAGCATGGATTTCTGCTCTTTAAGGTTGCTTATCAGGTCTGTGGAAGGGAAATGGAGGTCAAGGCATAATTCCAAGAGGAGATGAAAGAGAGCTTGAAGCGTAACCTTTTGTTCTTTCAGGGTTCCCAGGCAGTGAGGGGCAAATTACGAACCTATTTGTGAATTATTTATATTGATATAGAATAGTAACGATAATATCTCACGTTTGTCTAGGATGTTTTAATTCAAAGCACTTTCACGGCGCGGGGGGCCAGCCCGTGGCCCCGTGGTTAAGTTCGCGCGCTCTGCTTAGGCTGCCTGGGTTTCGCCCATTGGGATCCTGGGCGCCGGCATGGCACCGCTCGTTAGGCCATGATGAGGCAGCGTCCCACACGCCACAACTAGAGTGTACAACTCTGTAGGGGGGGTGGGTTGGGGAGAAGAAGAAAAAAAAGATTGGCAACAGATGTTAGCTCAGGTGCCAATCCTTGAAAAAAAAACGCACCTTCATGGGAGTAATGTCTTTTGATTTTTCTCTAGGAGAGGTAGGTGGCAGGTAGTTCGATGGGTAGCTAAGGACAGGATTTGGAGACCTACAAACCTGGGTGTGTATCCAGCTTCTGCCACTTACTAGCTGTGTGGGCTTGAGCAAGTTTAACATCCCTCAGTTTTAGCTGTGTATGAAATAGAGACACGAACATCTACCTTGAAGGGTTGTTGTACAGACTGGAGTTCATATATAAACCTGTCAGATTGAATGGTATATGGTCTGCTTAGCAAATTGTAACTAATGTTATTAATCCCTAACAGTTAAATGAGGGGGCTGAGGTACAAAATCATTGGGCCTTGGCCAAGGGCACATAGCTGGCAAGAAGAAAGCTGGACTGGTATTTAAACTTGGATCTTCTGGTTTCTAAACTTAGTGAGCTCGTTATCATACTTAACTGACGACTTTAAATGTCTCTCCTGTAACCGGGGACTCCAGATTTAGTTCCTTTGCATTAACAGTCTTCCTCATCATAATATATGACGTTATTCTGAGCTCCAGATGCATGACTTTCTTTAATCCACTTAATCCCTGAGAAGTGTTATTGTTAGTATCCCTGCTTCACAGAGAGGAAACTGAGGCTTTGAGGTTCAGGAATTTTTCAGAATTACACATAGTAAGTGGCAGAGCCTGGATTTAAACCCAGGGTTTTTTTCTGACTCCAGATTCCACGAAGCTATATTGCTATGTTGCTTCCCAAGTTTTTCCAGGGTTTCTCAGCAGTAGCTTTGCAGCCGTGTTCAACATTTTCAGTTTCTAACACACTGACTTGCAAGATAAAATTCCAAGATAATATAAACATAAGGTGTTTAGATGTGCTATATCAAAGTTCATAAATTTTTATAACCCAAAATATATATGTTAGTATGTTTATGCATACAACTAACGTTAATGCAAGTTTTCCACGTGTATTAAAAAGAGTTAAGTATAAAGTAAGCATTGAAAAGAGTTAAGGATAAGGTATTGGTCATCATAGTACAATATGTTGTAAGTATCGCAGTAGTTAATTTTGAAACAGAAGTAATTTGTTAAAATAAAATGCACTCCAGTGAGATCCCATTTCCCATCCCATTCCCCCAGCAAGAGCAATAGTGGTGTAAACTTTTAGGATGTCCATGGGGACAAAACATTTCTCCCCTTAATAGGTTGAATATGGTTAACTCAGAAGTCTTGCCATTTCTCCAGAGAGGTGGCTATAAGGACATAAACGGCACTGTATGAGGAGCTGTAGTCTCTTGACTGAGGCAGAAAGGGAAGGACTGAGCCTCACCTGACGTCAGGTACGGCAGGTGCAGGCACATTTACTGGTAGTCCATAATGTGCACATGGCTGTGCTAGGCCTGTAAGCCTACAGTCTGGTCCTTCCGTCCTCCCCAGAGCCCTGGGGCAAGGATCCCTCTCATTTTACAGCTGAGCTAAGTGAGGCTCCGAGAGGTCAAGCAGCCTGCCCAGAGTTGCTGGGCTGGTATGAGGCGGAGCCAGGATTTGAATCCAGGTTTCCTGGTTCCACATCCCGTACGCAGCAACTCGGAGATTCTTGGTAACTGCATTGAAATTCTGAACACAAACCCAGAAAAACTTCCTTTTTAAACAAATGGTCTTTTCTATTAAAGCCTCAGACTCAACCACAACAGTACTTACTGCCTCAAAAAGATGCTCTTGTGAAACTAACAGTTGTGGATTTCACCTATTTCATGATCCCTAGAGGAGGAAGCTAAGGAAACCTATGACTCTCTTGCAGCGTGCAGTCTGTGATCATTACCTTGAAACAGATGGCCAATTATGCAAAAATCCCTTACAGCTGATAGTGTTTTTCTAAATGAGCAATTCTGTAAAGAGAAGAAAAAGTAAATTAATCCTGACTAAAAGAACAGTTAACTCATAAATGCAGGGACACTTTTACAATAAATGGAAATCCATCTTTTAAAATATTCAGATTATAAATGAGTTGATCATTAAACTCTTGAGCTGTAGGCATAAAATTTGTCGAAGGGGCATTTTGAATATTTGACCACTGTAATGTTTGGCGAGGAGTTTATAACATGACATGTTTTCTTAATTCCCTGTGTGGAAAGATTGTAGGAAAAGAGAATGAATTTGAAAGAGCTTTTTAAGAAATAAATCAATGTTGTGGGTTAGATACTTTACCTGTCCAGAAACTGAAAACTGTTTCTTTATAGATTTCAGAAATTATTTCCTTTCACTTGGTTATGTTAGCTTATGTAAGATATAATACTAACTAGTTGACTGAATGAATGGACCAAGCAAATATAGCCACTTCTCTCTCAATGTATAAAGCAGTCAAATAAAGCAGTGTACTGGGGAAGCAGAAAAGGCGAGAATTGTGATTTTAATTTCAACTCTATATTCAGCATACAATCATTCTATTATTTCTCTTAACAAAACAAACCTTCCCTTGTCACCTGCCCCCATTGCTTATGCTGTTACCCCATTTCTCCTTTACAGCAAAACTCAGAGGTTGCCGTCTCCAGTGAGATGCATTCTGTATCTCATCTCTCTGCTCAGAACTCTCAGATAGCTCCTCATCTCACTTAGAGCAAAAGCCAAATCCTGTGGTGGGCTACTGGCCCGTTACCTCTCTAACTTCATTGTTCCTCCTGCTCTAGCCGGTCTGACCTCCTGGCCATTCCTGGAACTCTGGAGCTTAGGTCATTGTCTCTTCCAGAACCTCTTCCTGCAGAATGCTCTTCCTTCTTGAAGTCTGCTCAAATGTTACCTTCTCGGTGAGGCTGGCACTGATCAGCCCATTTAGAATTACCCCTCTTCCCTTCCTCACTTAATATTCCTCCCTACCATGCTAACCCCCTATGGATATTTAACTTATTTATTGTGTTTTTCCTCCCCATGTACTAGAATATTAGCGTCACAAAGGCAAGGATTTGTCTATTTTCTTTATGGATGTAGCCCCAAAGGCCTAGAACTATACTTGAAATGTAATTAGAGCTCAAAAAATATTTGTTGAATAAAACAATTCTCACAACTACAGTACGTAAAATCCTGTAGCTTTGGCATAAAGCTTTAGTACTGGTGACAATACTGAGATCTCAGGTAGGTGTTAATTTTTCTGTGTTGTTATGTAAGGAGAGAGACTAGCCTTTGGCGGGGGTAGGAGTGAGGAGCATCACTCACGTCCTGACGGGGGAGGGTGAAGCATGGAGACTGGGAATTTCGTAAGAGTTGTTTCTATCAAATGCTTGCATCTCTATAAATTCATAAGAAGTTATGAAGTTGGAGGCTCTGTTTGCAAAAAATCGCTTCCTAGATGAGTTAGAGCATATGAGGAGATGCTGGTGAAGCTTCCCAGAAACTGCTTCCTCTTCTCTATTTGCTGGCACCAGCACTGAGCTCTTGTGAACGTCAATATTCTGTATTTATGCGGCACTTCTGGAGAACATGAACCGTCCTGTAGGCTTTATCATTTCCTGGCAATGCAGATAACTGGCAAGGGGAACTGTGTTTTTTTCTGCTTCAAAAATGGAAAATCCAGGAAGAATAGAGCAAAATGGGGTTCACTGACTTGCATGCAGCCCCCCCCCACCCCTCCCACCACCCCCCCAGGAAAAAC